TATTCATGTGTATAATGTGTTATTTTTTGTTCTATATTATGATCAGATTGATCGACTGTGAACTTTGGGAAGGTAACAGATTGAAATGGTGGTAATTTTCTTATTTGGTACAACGAGATATTAGTGCGGTTCAATTAGAAAACAGTTGCTCATATGTTTTGAGCTTTGTTATTTAATTGAGCCGTGCCAATATCACGTTGCATTGCTATGAATCCATCCATGGATTCATACTTTCAACTCACTCACAGGTATTAATTTCCAATCTCAATTTATTTCCTCAGCTTTAGTTTCGTGTATGAATATGATAAAACTCATGATTTATTTGATTCTAGTTAGACATTTTGATTTATGGCATGAAGCAAGTGTTGAAGTGTGTGATTTTTGAGTCATGCAAACCCTGTGACTACTCTTAACTTGAATGGTTCAGATTGATTATATTCAAAACTCTCAATCCAAATGTCAATATCTCTGACAAGGACTCAACTAACAAAGGGTTTCATATCAAATTATCTTAACAACTCTTATGTAAAAACAAAGCTCTTTTTGTGTCTAACAAGTTCTTTTTATGTTCACCAATTTTGATCAGATGAAGATCTTGTTATTGCTCAATTCACTCTATAGATGAAGAATCTATATTTAGTGTTTATGAATGTATAAGTTTTGAAATTCAGAAAGTTTCAGTGACCAAAAGAATGTACAGTAATTCTAAATAGCATATCAAATGGGGATTGAATACTGTAAGTGGTTGGTGGCAAATACTTAATGCAGAACTCTCATGAACAGAAGAAAAATGTGGAGAGATCAACCTTTAAGAGCAAGGAATCACAATAACTTATCAATGTGGTAGGTATCATTTGTTGGTGAAAAGGTCCATCACTTTTGAACATAGTGGTTTTTGGTAGGTAAACCACCTTCTTTGCCCCACACTAAGGTATATTGAGATATTGAAGTATCATTCAGAGGTGATAAATGGTTTTGGTTTATGTAACTAAGGGTTACCCTTTTTTTTTTTCTTTAAGTCACATTCTTCTATATTTGACAAAAAAAACTCCTATTCATACACATTGTCCATTTATGCAGATCATTTGTTATTTAGTATTTCCATTGCTTTCTATAGTTTTTGGTGATTGTTACTTGTATGGAATCTTGGTTATAATAATTCAATTTTGCAGTTTTCTATCATTTTAGATTTGGATCTAAATTAGCTATTTTGAGTTTTCTTACCTTTCAGTAGAAATCACCCAAAAAGATCACTTTCAAAGCATCTGTAAATGAATGAGACAAAAGGCCGGCAACAAATAATATTCCATGCGTGCTAAGAAAGTAAGCAATACAGCCTTGAAACTTGAAGGATGAACTGGCCGGACATGTTTCTACTTAAGTTTTTATCACCATTATTCCATTAATGTGCAAAAATGCCCATACACCATACTTAAAACTTGCAAGGCATGCACAGATGCACTCCCCACTAGTTAAAAAATAGGATTCCGGGCGTGTTCGATCTTTCGACAAGGGTATCTTCTGTTTAAATCCAAGCTCTTGTGGAAAATGAAGATCAAGTAAGACTTGATTAGGAATGCGAATGATCATGTCTTTATTCTTTTAAGATGATATAGTAATAAGGTTCATAGAGTTTAAACACACATCAAGCAAGTTTTTTATTGTTTTTAATTAGGTAGCATGAACAGAAAACTAAA